GAGGATGAACAAATTGTGAGCGATAGTTGCGCTCGCAGAGAGACTAGCAGTAGTAGTTGATTCCTATCGTGCTATGTCGCGTCGTGACATGTCGCATAGTTGTTCGGCGGCGGCGGCGGCACACAGTGTACACACATGCATGCACTGTATATCGATATAGTTAATAGTTGGTCGCGTGCGCGTGCTCGCTGAGCCCAAAGAACCACCCACCCACCACCAACCCTTGCCTTGTGTGTCCGACTGCGATACTTGAAATCAGTCGCGCAATATCATGTGACGCAATTTAACGTTGTGGCACGTCATGTGTACCATCGTCGATCGCGATTCAGACTTTTCGCACGGGGAATAGAACTTTTTCTACGAGAGCAGGCAGTTCTTTCATTGGTCCTTGGCAGTTGGTTGTTGTTGGTTGATGCGCGAAACGTTTAAAGTTATAATTGCCAGAGAATAGATAGAGATACAGTGCGATATTCTGCTGTATCGCACTCGGTACACAGCGAAGAAATACGTTCGTGAATGAGTTAGCTGACAACTCGACTTACAACGTTGACTTGACAACATCAGTTTTCTCGTGACAATGTGAAACGCCTTAGTTTAGTTTCGCAGATTCGAGTATATAGAAACGCACGCAAAGTGATGAACCGTAGGAGAGAACGAAAATTAAAGTGATCGATCGAAGAAGGGACCACGGACGCGTGCGCACACGCATACACGTACACACGTACACACGTACATTCAGGGACCACGTTAAAGAAATCGACAAATCTTGTACAGGATGATGGATTGGGGAATTAGACGTAAGAATGTATTTCATTGTTCACTCTTTAACAACTAGGAATGATAATTTAATAATCGCAATGTTTCTCGATTATCTATCTCGAATATATCTGCCATACGAATATCTTTCCAAGAATTGTAATTACGAGTTGCAGTTCAGTTGCATTCAGGGATGATATTGATAAAGTTTCTCACACGCGTATCCATATCGATTAATTACAACGGAAGCAACGTTCGAAGCAACGACCGATTCGTTTCTCCTCCGTTGGATTAATGGAATAATGGAGCATAGATATAGATATAGATATAGATGTTTCGACGACATCTTGGAGATGTAAATTTTAATCGACTTCATTTTTCTTTAAAGTGTAATTTATTATTGTATACGCTGCACTGATTCTCGATTCGATGATCATTCGATTTCAAGCATGTACGTGTGTGTGTATACATGTCGTATATATACAGTGAACTGTGGCAACGTGTCGTCGGTGACACAACGTAGTATGTTATGTACTGCACGTTGTTTGTAGGTCAGTCGGATACGTAAAATGCGACGCGATATAGCACGTACTAGTCTATAATGCAAGAATGATATTTGTAGCGTTCGAGTATATATACACACAGGATGTGCACAGAGCACTTGAACCTAAATATTCCATCTGTTGTTTTTGGTGTGATGTGAAAACGATTCTTCGAGTCGGAAACGAAACGTGTTACTCGGCACGGAGGAGGCCGTAATCTCGATCGGTATACCGTGTCCGGATGTGTGTTGTTTCACCGACTGGTCGATCTCTCTATAAAAAAAAAAAAAAAAGTATCGACCTAGATCTGTTTTAGGAAAAAGTATCGTTAGTTTAGTTTAGCGTGTTTCACATCTCTGCAGAAACACAACGGAGATATTTACGGTGGTAAAGGAGCAGGGAAAATGGTATTTAAACGAAGATGATGTCATCTTTATTTACACACACACACAGGTTCGATCATGTTCCACGTGCGGAGACGACCTTCGGACTACGTGCCTCGGAAACGGAAGAAAAAACCGAGTGGCAAGTGGAACGAAGTGGATTACAGGTTCGTGACGAAAAATGATAGCGATACTTACCGATACTTACCGATTTGATCGACGGTAGAGAAATTATTTCATAGAAATTATTTGTAAACATTTTCTTGGCGAGATCTTGACGAGAGAAGAGACCAAAGAAAAAGAAAAAGAAAAAGAAAAAGAAGAACGTTCGGTTTCTGATTACGCAGGTACGAAGACGAGAGGTTGCCCTTTTCGCTGGAATTGAACACCGATGGGAACAACGAGGCAATCGGGAACGGGGCCGGTGTACGGCATCATCGATTGCAGCCAAATGCAGGAGAAATGGGCTCGGAGAGATCGATATCTATCCATCCGTCGAGTCCGAGCAAATCTACTACAAAGTCTGTTGCTGCGGCTGCCGTCGCAACTAACGTTTGCCATACTGCTCGAAGCCCGACCACCCATCCGCCGGAATCGACGCACAATTACGAGACAACGTTCGACCTCGATGGTAACGTCGAGACTGCCAGTCTTACCAGCAGCAGGGATGGGAACAGGTGACGTTACCATCTGTCCTCTCGCACCAAAGATACGGATACGAGTTTGAAATTTTTAATTTTAATTTTAATTTTAATTTCTCGAAACTTGCTCGAAAATTGCCAGAACTCGCGAAAGCAAAGCGTATCGATCCTTTTTGCTATATTCGCGGTTGAACAAGATACAAACGGAAATGGACAACACGTATACAACAAGGATGTTTTGTTTGAAATCGGAGATGCTCTTTCTGTTTCTAGGCTGTACGGACCGTGTGGTGGATGTACACGTACTGAAAAAAGAGTACGAGATATTTTCTTGGCAACTCTTTTTCTTTTTAGATTTAGATTTTTATCTTGCGGATAGAATTATCATTTCGGAATCACCTGTATTCTTGGAAGCAAGAAACGATCGTTTGTTCGTGTTTATATCGGAGTTTCGAGATTTTCCGATCCGTCCCTAGTTTTTTACGTCACTATATATATATTTATTAAGCAAGCTAGAACAGCAGATTGTAAGACTCGAAGCGAATGAAATGCGAATGAAAATGAAAATGAAAATGAAAATACGAATACAGTGAATTGTGAATTTCTTGTCTGTTGGTTCGGACAGAACGCTGCAGAATGATCGACAGCCGCGCGGAATGGACCCGATATTGCCAGCTGTGTTGGAATTTCTCGAGGAGACGGAAGAGACTTTCTTTCACGCGGTGATCACCGATGTCGAGCCGTCGGCACCGCAGTTCAAATTGGCACCGACGTACACGCTTTACTTGGCGGCTAGATATCGCGCGAGCACGCACTACAGGCCAGAGTTGCAGCCAACGGAGAGGGCTCACAGATTGACCGTCATGTTGGCAAACGTGGCCAGCATGATACAACGAGTGATACAGGTAACCGTGAGCTCGAAGCTCTGTACGCGTATCGTACGAGTGGTATGTCTGGAAAAGATTTATCTCGACGTAATAAATATTTATTTATGTTATTTATGCTAATTGGGTTTTTTTTTACTTTAACTCGAAATAAGTCCAACACCGTTGGAAGTAATATTTATCATTACATTTTTTTAATTTAAAATGTAATTAATTCTTTTCGTCAGACGTTCAACGAGTCAATTACATATATATCTAATAAGCTAATTTAAGCAATCGGGTTTTATATAATTTTTAGTTGTAAAAGTAATGAGATGAATGAATTTTTTCAAAATTGAGAAAAATAACACTTTATATATA